ATAAACACATGAGACGCCATTTTGTCGCTCCACACATACCCTTAGAATGAGACCTCCGTACAGATCCAGAATGCCAGGTCCTCGGACCCCCCTTTCGGTACCAGAGCCGATGAAACAGCGTCAGCAGTACGACAGACCAGTCTTTGGATTGTCTCCAGGTAAAAAGCGACAGTTGGTTGACAGCGTCAGATGGACCCGGAGGGTTAGTGAGTTCAGCTTTTATTCTGAAAGGAACCGTCGCTTGTTGCTAAAATGCAACAGATTTTATCCAGCTTGTTGGTTCTTTGCTTAAAAAGTAAGTCCGGGTGGTCGGTCCGATACTTCTCTTAGAATGCGGTGAACTGAACTTAAGATGGCGTGGGACTGGTTTTATTAATCTGGAAGTTTTGATTTATGGTCGAATCAAAGTTGGCAGATTTATAAACACCACAGAGACTATGCCACGCTTCAGAAAGGAAGGTTCTGATTGGATGAGTAAAAGCAATGTGTCGTGCGTTTACATTACGTGTGATCAGGATGTCTAGTGCAGCTAGATTAAAGTCATATTACTTATTAAACTTACTAATCATAACATTGTCATTTCACAGATCGGTCAACATCTTATTATTGACTAACACTTTGTTTGATTAGCTTTATTAAAAATAGAGTTCTTTGATTTATTAAAAGGAAAGAGTCCTTGTCTTCATTCTTCTCTTGTGCTGGAAAGGAAGCAGTTTAGAAGCAAATGCATGACCTTGAGCAATATCTCATGCAGATTAGTTCTTGCTGAGGAGAGGGGGGAAATGACTTTTAGGTGGAAAACAGTCATTTCATTCAGTTACAATATATATAACATAATAAACATTTTCGTATTAATCTAATGAAAAATTTTTTTTAAGTCAGTAGGTAATATATATTGATTTGTATATAAAATTTGAAATATATAATCATATTTTGTAATTATTATTATTATTGTTGTTTTAAAGTAAAACCACCAATTCTCAATTTTAAATGATTCAGTTTTAGATTTACATCTAATCAATAATTTATCAACCTCCCATTAAAATCTGGGGATTGATTAATGGGATGTTTTGCTAACAGGGTCATAAACTGGTCCCATCTAAAGTTCAGAACAGACAGAAAAGTTCTGGAGACACTGGGAACAGCTAGTCGGGCGACCATAAAAGCAGCATAAATTTAAACATTTCTTAACTTTTCAAATCTTGTTAGGCTGAAATAATTATTTTTCTTGAAATATAAGGAGTAGGCCTAACTAGTCTACATAATTGTGCTGGGACGTTCATCTGTGTTGTCTTCAGTGTTTGATGTCAGAGAAGAGCGATCTTCATGACAACACTGTCAGCGTCTTCATCCTCCCCAGTCTCAAATATACACGCAATACATGTTTACCAGGTACGCCATGTCTGAGCAGCTGCTGGGTCCTCTGTTGATGATCCAGGATTCACTCCAGGCATCTGGATCAGATGGAGTTTTGCTCACATACGCTCCCAAATCCCTTCCTGTGCTGCTGGGCTGGGTGAAGAGCAGACACTTCCACCTTCAGATGGAACAAACGTGTCTGTGTGACCGTCCTCATTAGTGGTGTTGCAGTTGATGAACCTGCCTTCATCTCTCCAGACTTTCGCCATCTGATTTTCATGGAATCAATCTGTCAAACTGCCAGCTTTCTCCGCCATCGTCACTACAGGGCGACCACATGTGGAACAAGTTTGTCATCAGTGGGATTTTCGTCCACACAAGCTTTAATCGGGACGATCAGTCATCCGTCCTCCGTTTGAAGGCCGTGTCCTGGTCCGATTGCTAAGGCGACGCAGTGTTCAGGCAGTCAGATGAGTCACTTCACTCCAACTTTGTCCAAAGTTGTCACTTGTTTTGGAGCACAGACAAGTTTTGTGACGGTCTCATTCTTCCCGCTGCTGTTCTGTACTGGTGATGAGGAAAAACAGGAAGAGTTTGTTCTCCTTCTCGTTGAACTTCAGGCAGGGGTCGATGGAGCGGTGTCCAAGAAGGCCGGCTTCTCTCACGTTTCCTTCTGGTCAAACTGAAGAAAAGATTGCATTCAGTAAAATGCATCAAAACATGCAGCAACAACCAGAAGAGTCCTGCTGTCTCTCGTGTAGACCGTGTAAACACACCTTTTGAAGACAGGATCGCTCATCGATCTGCAGGAGAAAGGCTGATGATCGTCTGGCTTTGACTGACACACTCTGGTGCAGTTTGACTAATAGAAAGTTCTTATTGTTTAAACTGAAGTTTAGTTTAGAACAAAAACCTGTTTCATTTAAATAATCTAAGTTATCTTCCTTTGCTTGTAGCAGAGAAGTTTAAACAAAAACGACCTCAGTTCTACCTCCACCAGCTCCTCCGGCAGGACCCCAAGGCGTTCCCTGACCAGATTGGAGATGTAACTTCTCCAACGTGTCCTGGGTCGACCCGGGGGCCTCCTGCCGGCAGGACATGCCCGAAACACCTCCCCAGGGAGGCGTCCAGGAGGCATCCTGACCAGATGCCCAAACCTAAGGCTGCTCGATTATGGCAAAAATAATAATCATGATTATTATGACTAAAATTGAGATCTCGATTATTTAGGACGATTTTTCAATTTATGTTGATTTTATTTGTTTTTATTCAGTCATAAAATTGCTCAGGGCACAATCAGGACAAAAATAAATAAGAAACAAGATGATCACTAAAATAACTCCTGATTCCCAGTATGAAAATACCAATATACTTGTAGCTCATAGTCTATGACCCAAGGGCTATAGACCTTGGTTTAACTCATTTAAGTCTAACCAGTACAGACCCGAATACCAATATCTTGCAAATACTGACAGCAAGAATTATACAGTGGCATTTATAACAAATAAATGCAAATAAATTGATGTTCACAAAATGTTGCATAGCATTTATTGAGTCATGTCAAGGTGCTGTAATCAGATCTGGAAAAAATCATCCATGCCTTTGTGTCATCACGCTTAGACTACTGTAATGCTCTTTTTACTGGTCTCAGCAAAACCTCCCTCTCACGCCTTCAAGCCATCCAAAATGCAGCTGCCAGACTCCTAACCAAATCCAGCAGACGAGCTCACATCACTCCAGTTTTACAGTCCCTCCACTGGCTCCCGGTAGAATATAGAATACAGTTTAAAGTTTTAGTCCTGACCTATAGAGCTCTTAACAACCAGGCTCCAAGCTACCTATCTGAGCTTTTATCCCCACACACCACCTCACGGAACCTTAGATCCACATATGAAAACCTCCTGGCTGTTCCTCGAACCAGACTGAAAACCAAAGGGGACAGGGCCTTTCAGACTATTGCACCCAGACTTTGGAACAGTCTGCCTTCAAATCTCCGTCTCTCTAACACTGTAGAGGTCTTTAAAAATCATCTAAAAACTCACCTTTTCATCCAGGCGTTCCCTCCCTAAATGTTTCAGAATGATGGCTTTGTTCGGGTTCACGCCTTCACTTTGTTTATACTCATGATTTTATTTTCTACGTTTATCACTGCTATTGTTTTTCTGATGTTTTTATTGGTTAGAGGTATTTGCCCTGATCTTTATCATGTTGTACAGCGCTTTGTGATTTATATCTGCGAAAGGCGCTATATAAATAAACTTTTACTTACTTACTGTAGGAGAGTGCACTAGCACCGTGTCCTCAGAGAGATTAGTTATCAGCGTGAGGAACTTATTTCTATCTATTTCTACCTTATTTATAAACTATTTATTTACAAGTCCATCAGTTAATGTAATAATTGTCCCAACCACAGCTGCACCCCCCACCCCCCAACCTGGTCTCACAGCAATCAGTGGCAAGCTGCACGTGTGTTTAGCACGCCGCACGCGCACATTTAGCCGTTTTTAGTGGCTCAGGAGTCCGCAGGTGCGATGTGTGTGTCACTCACTCTGGTTACTCCAACAAGGAGCCGGCTCTGAGAGCTGTTTCTTTAGCGACTGACACATCACTACATCATTCCCTTTCCTAATGTTGTGAAGAACGGTCCGGAGCGCAGGCGGAGTGTTTAGCTAACCTGCAGGAAATGTTGACGGCAGTTATCCAGAAGGTAGCTAAGGGTTACCAGAGATGTTTCTGAGGTGTTCGCTAGGTACTTTTAAGATTTAAAAAGTCAAGAAGGGGGTCTGAAAAGCTGTTGGAAATAAGCGTCAAAGTCGCCAAGTTGGCAACACTGTAAGGAGCGCTTCATTTGCAACTCAGGGCAGCACAAGTGGGAGGAGCAAATAATCGGCTTGTTTTGTTTGTATAATCGTTCAAAACTCAGATCGTAATTGTGATTAAAATTCGATTAATTGAGCAGCCCTACCCAAACCACCTCAACTGACTCCTTTCGATCCGGAGGAGCAGCGGTTCTACTCCGAGTCCCTCCCGAATGTCCGAGCTCCTCACCCTATCTCTAAGGCTGAGCCCGGCCACCCTACGGAGGAAACTCATTTCGGCCGCTTGTATCCGCGATCTCGTTCTTTCGATCATCACCCAAAGCTCATGACCATAGGTGAGGATTGGGACGTAGATCGACCGGTAAATCGAGAGCTTGGCTTTCTGGCTCAGCTCCCTCTTCACCACGACAGATCGGCTCAGCGTCCGCATCACTGCAGACGCCGGAGGAGCTGGTGGAGGTGGCCGGGGAGAGGACGGTCTGGAGCTCCCTAGTTGGGATGCTGCCCCCGTGGCCCGGACCCGGATAAGCGGAGGAAGACGACGACGACAACCTCAGTTCCTTGGATTTGAATTTGAGATCATGTCATGTTGAGAACATGACATGATCTCAAATTGATGTAGGGTGGACAGTCATGTCCTAAAATTAAAAGTGCAGTTTCACATAATATTACAAGAGCCTGTATAACCAGTGCTGCTGCCACTCCAGTTTGCAACCCGAATATCTGTAAAACTGACTGGGCTTTAGCTTTTTTCAGGTCTGACTCGTCTGAAAAAGCCTTTTATATGTTAATGAGCGTGTGTGTGTGTGTGTCTTCCTGCAGAGCTTCCAGAGAACTGGACAGACACTAGGGAGACCCTGCTGGAGGGCATGGTGTTTCACCTCAAGTACCTTGGGGTCACGATGGTCGAGCAGCCCAAAGGCGAGGAGCTGTCTGCAGCAGCTGTCAAGAGGATAGTGGCCACGGTGAGAGAGGACACACACACACACACACACACACACACACACACACACACACACACACACACACACACTAGTGTTCTATTAATATGACTTCCCTCAGAAATGAGTTTCTGTCAAGCATTTATAATATTTTCTCCACATCATCACCTCGGCTACGCAACAGTCGTCCAGTAGTTTTCTCCTGTAATGACTCGACCAGTGGAAGGTGGCTGGCCTGCAGCTCAGGTTGACATTTTAGGCGAGTTAGCGTGGACTCTGCCACTTGCCGAGTGTCTGAGCGAGCTTCATCACGGCAGAGAAGACTTAATGTTACTGGATCTGGTGGAAAATGCAGCAGCATAAAGGTGGAACACGATGATGCATGAAGGGAGATATAAAGACTAATCTCTCTCTGAAGAGGATTACAGAGGACTTGGTGTGTTTGCTGTCGTTCTGATTAATAGGTGAGATTACATCATGGTAGAATCCTTGTTTTATCCCTTAAACTTTGTTTTTGTTAATGTCAGACTTGGATGCATTGGAACTCGATAACTTCAGTACACCTCTGTCATCTCTGTGGTCTGAACGGGCCTGAATGGCCCATTCAGGTTGTTATTTTCAGTCTGATTTAGTTTCTTTTGTCTTTCTGTCTTCTCAGTCCAAAGCCAGCGGGAAAAAGCCGCAGAAAGTGACGCTATCAGTGTCCCCGCGTGGAATCATCCTTTTCGACAGTGCCTCAAACCAGATGATGGAAAATATCTCCATATACAGGTCAGTTCTTCGCCGTTGCCCCCTCTCGCGTGGTGGTTGTGTCTGTCAAACGGAGCCACCTGGAGTCTAGAACCCACCCACACTAAAACAAAAGCTGTCCATCTTGTCTTGCTTCCATTTTTCACCCGACGGACGTGTGGCATGCTAAGTTGATGCTGCTGAAGAGAGGAAGATGAGCCGATTCCTCCCTGGAGCACAACAACAGCTGCATGTCTGAGCTCTGACCTGCAGCTTCATAGACTCCCACATTAGTCTTGTTTTATAGTTACAGATCTATCTTACCTGCCTCAGCCTGCAGGCTCGTCTTTCTTCCTCTAAAGCTCATGATCCAAGCGGGAATCACTTTTTCACATTCCACATTTATGAGTTTGCCTATGAAGGAGAGATCTGGGCGTTCCATCATTTTCTAAGGATGATTAGGCTTAAATGCTGAATTTGTCCTGATAAAAATGTCAAATTAAGGACTTAAATTTCAGCCTGGGACGTTTTTCTGAAGTTAGCGACCGACAAATTGACTTTACTGATTTCTTGGTTTATTTTACAGAAATCTAAAAGTGAACTTCTGCTTCTCTCAACTGTGTTGAATAAGAACGTTCTTCTGTTTTAAAGATCTCATTCACTGAGGAACCGTGTAATACCCGTTGTTTTTTAAATAAGAACAGTTTTTTTAAAGCACTCTAACCCTCATCGCCTGTGTTTGCTGCAGAAAGGAAGTAGATGGGAAAACGACTGAGTCAGAACAAGCCAGAGGGAATAATGCATTCTTGGCCTCGTTCCTCAGCTTGTGACCAGCTAGCTTCTGCTAGCTACTAGCAATGCCGCAGCATGGCGAAACACGTTCAGGCTTGGGTTATTTGTGGAGATAAAACATCAACATTGCATTTTTTTTATCCAAGACAAGAACGAGCAAAGCCTGGAGGGGACCTGTGTTTATTTATCCAAGTTTACAGAGTGTAAATCGGGTTTGAGTCGTATCCAAAAACACCAAAATAAACTTTTGTTTAACAAATCCATTTTCCTCTTATGGGAGCAACAGCTGCATGTCTGACCTTTGACCTCCAGGTTCATATGGACTGTTAGTCCAGCATCCATCCACTCACAGAACAACATACTTGAACTCTTTTGCTTGAGGCTGGGATGGGTACCAAATTCAGTACTTTTTAAGGCACTGACCGAATTCCACAGTACCGACTGAGTACCGATTCACGTCATATGAAACAGTGCCTTTTTCCAGTACCCGTGCTGCGCGCCGGCGCAAGAGCGTAATGTCGTCAGTCACTCTGGGTTAGCTGTAAACAACGCCACGGCAGAGAGGAAGCGTTCTGAAGTTTGGGTCCACTTCACTAAATGGGATGGGTACCTGGGTGATGATGAAACCAGCAACAACGATCTAAGTGAGACGTCATCATCTTAATCTGCTTCGGTAGGTAAATAAAACGTTTAAAATAATGTTAGCTTGAAATGTTGGCTTCCCTTCAGCTAATGTGCTTTCACATTTTCCTCGGAACTCCGAAATTCCGACTAGAAGAAAGCAAAGGTGCTCTAAAGTTTGGCTTCACTTCACTGATTGCGATAGGCTGTTTGGTGATGTTGAAACCAGCGACAACGATCTGAGTGCGAGTCTTCTTAATCTGCTCCAGCAGCAAAATAAACTGTTTAAGATAACGTTAGCTTGATAGTTTCATTTTTGTTTACATAGCTAATGGTGCGTTCGCTTTCTCCTCGGAAATTCCAACCTCCGAGTAGGAAAAATAAACCGTTTGAAAATGAACGGCCAAAGGAATGAAGATGCACAGTAAATTTAGTTCACAGCAAAGATGTTTCCTTCACCTTCAGATCGGAGACATGGAATGGAGTCAAACTCCATCTGGGAACCAGCTCAACCTAGTAGCGCTTGCTTTGGTTGTTCAGGGATTAGAGATTCCTTAAAACAGACCCCAGTACCTCATACTGTTCAGCAGTCGGCTTTTCCTCATCACAAGGAGTTAGTTGAGGTGTGTTGGGTATCTGATTACCCATCTGCTCACCTTCCTCTGGAGGTTTCCTGGGAGTGTCTCATTGGGAAAATCCCTGGGGCAGAGCAGGAAGCTTTAAGAGGGACTATAGATCCTGTATGACCAGGAAAAGCTTTAGGATCTCCCAGGAGGAGCTGCAAAATCTCAAAAGTTAGACCTTGGAAAAGTGGGAGACAGTGGATGGATGAAAGGATGGAAGAATGAAACGATGGACAGATGGATGAAAGGATGAATGGACGATTTCCTCGTAAATGCAACACCTCTTGAACCAACAACTAAAACTAAACAACTAAAAGATTGAAAACCCATAAGAACTGTTCTGGACCCCCGGTTCCCCCAACCAGACCTTTGGTGTTGTTCAGACCACAGCTGTGACCCCCTCCCTCTCTCAGCATGCCTTCATTTGTTCATCTGTAAATAAATACATAATTATCTCAGTATTGAAGGAAAGGACAGCGAGAGGACACGTGTCGGACACATTTTGCCCTTCCTCTATCACTCCACCCATCCCCAACTCGCCCGCCTGCTCTGCACTCGTGTTAGACTAATGACGCCGCGCTCAAATGGTGGAGAAAAGCTATTTGGAGGGTATTATGGGTTGATTTAAAAGCTTACTCGGCACCTGAGACTGTCGAGCATGACTGATACCTCTCACACGACACATCAAGATGCCCTTCTGCAGAAAGACGCCGCTAGTGTCTGCTCGAGTCCTTTCATGTTCTTCACAGAGTTGAAGTTCAGCCTGAATCCCATAAATTCCTCAATACAAAAATAAGAAGGGAAGCTGAGATTAGGTCGTTTAAATCTCCCTGCTGGATGAGCTTCATTATCCTGCTTTATTTATAGGTCATGCTTATAGAATACCAGACTTTGTTAAAGCCTGTTCATTTGTGTGTTTTAGAATATCGTATTGTACTGCGGACAAAATGCACGACAAAGTGTTTGCCTACATCGCCCAGAGCCAACACAACGAGACGCTGGAGTGTCACGCCTTCCTCTGCTCAAAGAGAAAAATGGTGAGTGATGAGATTTCATGTTCACTGTGTGAGAAAATGAGCCAAAAGCTGTTAGCTTTATGTTTTCTAGATTTAAGGACGTTTGCTTTATTTAGTATTTCAGTTTTAGAGTGGGGGAGGGAGAGAGGCCGAAGGGTGGGGCGGCCCTGGCTCCCTTTCCTGGCATTCTCACGTCCCTGGAGGTTTTGTGAATGGGCGAGCCACTCCCTCTCCTTCCTTCCTGTCACTAATTTAGCCGTGGCTAAAGGGCCACGTATCCTCCCAGCTACACAAACATGAAATACCTCCGTCAAGTATCTGAGCAGGAACCTCCAGTGTTTGTGGTCACTTCCTGTTTGTGTCGGAGCGATAACCCGTGGTGGGATTCATTACTGTCGTCTCCCTCACAGGCCCAGGCGGTGACCCTGACTGTGGCGCAGGCGTTCAGAGTGGCGTTTGAGTTCTGGCAGGCTAACAAAGAGGGTGCGTACTGTTCACCCCCCTTCAGGTTTGATTGTGATCTCCTGGTAAACAAACATAAATATATGTGTGTTCCTGATTATACACTCAATGATTCATTTACCTCTGAATGTGCCACACACACACACACACACACACACACATACACGCACACACACACACACTCAATAGTTTCAGCCACAGCGACTGTCCCTTCTCCCAGAAAGAACAGTTTGACCACATTTGGGTTTTAGGCAACAGAGAGGAATTTAAAATGAATATTTTTGTCATTTTGAAGTTTATTTTGTGTAAAACATAAATATTAAATATCTTAAATTTTCAGTAACTTCCAAAACAGCCTCAGTTATGAGAAATAGGTAATATTCAGCAGGACTGATGAGCTAACGGCTAGTTCAAACACAGAAGATCCGTGGTTTGAGGGAAAGGAATAAAAGAAAAGAGAACAGTCGACATAAAACAGGACGTTTTGGTTCTCTAAGACCTGCAAAGCAGCTTTAAATTTGAGTTTCACTTCAATTCACGTCTTCAGGAATGTGATCAAAACATCTCGAGGACAACAAAAGACATTGATGTCCCTCTGGGGGGAAATCAGGGGTTTAATCAGCTGACTAGCTTGCATTCATTATAGTTTAAAATATTATAGATTGTTTTAAATTTGGAAAAGCCTCTGGAAGAAGACATGAAACATCATCATGTTGGTAAAGAACCCTGCTGGATGTGGGCTCTACTTCTCCAAACTGAGGCCCTTCAGGATCTCAGCAACATATAGGAGGAAAAAACGGTTTTTAAGTTTCACACAGACGGGCTCGAAATGTCTCTACGGCTAAAATCAGATCTGGACTCGCTGGAGCCAATCTTCAGATCTCTGCTTCAGGTTGTTTCTCTATCTGACGTTTCTACTCCTCATGATAAATTCATGCGTTCACCACGTTTCATGTCTGCTGGTCCAGGAGAGACTGCAGGTTGTGTTTGTGCCTTTGAACGCAGCAGGAGTCTAACTCGTGTGATTTATTTACTGCACGTGTGACTCTGCTGTAAACGAGACTGTTGTAATATCAGTGTCCCCCCCCCCCCCCTCACACACACACACACACACACCTTGCTGGTGGTCTTTTGAATTCCTTGATTGTTCATTTGCCCCCCTCCTTTGTTTTGCACCTGTCAGCATCCAAACCCTCGCTTCTGCTCGCTGCGAGGACCGAGGCTGAGGGGGTGCAGCAGAGGGGGATGGGGGCTAGGAAGCGTACAAAAGGAGGGGTGCGTGGACGGCGAGCGTGCATGTGTCCGTGGAAATCGCACCCCTCCCCCGACGGATCCGATGTGACTGTCATTGATCCTGCCTCACACCGAGACACGCTTATTTATGCATTCCTTCAGAGACGTTCTCTCTGAATAAAACACACTTGTTTTCTTGCATTTCTCCATTTTTTAAAGATATTTTCCGGTTTGAGGAGGGATTCCTTTGTTTCCTCACCGTGTTTCCTGGAGATTTCCAGTCGGGCGAAGTTTAATTTAACAAGTTTTTGCTCCTTTCCTGTGATGAAAAAAGAGATTTTTCTCTTTTCAAAAAAGAAGCACAGGTGTTCCCTTCAGATCGGACTCCGAAGGAGGAAGAAGAGAAGAAAAAGAGCGTTTTAAGGAAGTTATGAGCGCCCCCGGGATTATTTAGACCCACTGTGTCTAGTTTGTCTCCTGCAAACTTTCCTCCATCCTCAGAACAACACTCGTCTGACCCACATTCCTCTTCAGATTGCAGCTGCGGGTCCTGAGCAACTCTCGTAGAATATTCCTTTTAAACGCTGCAGCGAGCGGTGAACGGCTGTGTGTTCATATAGGGTCCATGTTTAAGAGGAGCAGACTATGAAAAGGTGCCGGGGGGGAATTCGTGTTGCTTTTCCATCACTAAGCTACCAAAACCCGTAGGAATCAGGATTTGTTTTGGTACAACTTCACAACAAGGTGCCCCTTATGAACGGCTAATAAATAGTTCATAGATATAATTAATTACTTGGGGAAACACCGATATGAAAACTTTGGGTCGGTATTGATATCTGATATTAATGTTGTAAGTGTTAGCACTTGTAATATGTAATTATCGCTGTTTTTGTGCTAGCTAATGTTGACTAGCTGTTGCAGCCATCTTGAATAGGGCTGACTCTTCAGAAAGCCTCAGGAAAATCTGTCTGCCGTTCTCACACACACTCGTAACACGGGCAGAAACAACATAGCTTTGGATTTTTGTGGTGTGTTATAATGAGGAGGGGCGTGTGATAAAAAATACATTCAATTAAATAAGGATTTGAATTATATGAACGCAAGCTGCATGAGATTTGTGCAGAAACTGGTTTCCTCCCAAAGTTTAGCATCATCGAACAGGAAAAAAAAACAGCTGTGAGTTTTTGTTTTTTATTTAACTTTTTTTTTCATTCAGGCAAGATGGACACATGAATCAGCTAATATGTCAAAGGTCAGTCTGAGTAACAGCCATGTTTATCTTCAGAACGCTCCGTAATGAAGCTTTAAAAGTCTCCGTGGGGACGCCCGGCCGGGCGAGGATGTTTGAGGTTTTACATCCTTTCTTACCAAGACTTCACTCCGTTCTGCTGATTGTAAATCAGCGTGAGCCTATCACCGAGTCCCACCCTGAGGAGGAAGTGTCACCTTTTCCTGTGCTGTGGGATAAATTTAACCACCGAAGCCGGGATTGAGTTTCTTAGAGCGACGCTGTGCAGGAAGTCTAATGACTGTGATTGTCGCGCGCCTTGGGTGACTTGCAGTTTGTAGTAAACTGTCTCAACAGGATGTATTGTGCACAGCTTCCTCTCCCCTTTGACCTAGATATCTCTGCCGCACCAGGTGTAGCGGTGTTTGAAACCCACCCGCAGTGGGTTTTAGCTGGGTGACGGCTCGAGGAATGAACTTTACCTCATCTGCCAGCGTGCGGCAGCTGGTTTGTTTGCACACATTTTACGCTCGGTTAGTCAGTTAGTTAATGCTGTCGTTTTCAGCTGCTGGAAGATACCGAGACTATCAGTAAAGAGTGAACGGTTAGAGGCGCTGACTTGTTATTTTCTGTGTTGTTGTGCACAGAGAAAGAGAAGCGAGTAAAGACGGGTTCGGACGGGGAAGGAGCCAGCAACCCTCAGTCAGACAGCTCGGCCAGTCTGGGCAGTCTGGAGGGAGGAGGTGAGTCATGTCACCCATCATCACGTCTTTCTCACCCTTCTGTCACAGCCATTTTAGCCTAGGAGGGATGAAGAGTGTTCAAGCACTTGTCAAAAGGTTGACCTTTACTGAAGCTCCTGGTCAGAATTTTTACAGGAAAAATGTCTCACTGTTACACGTCCACCTCCAGGGGATGCACCCTTCCAAGGATACTCAAACTTGTGTTTCCCACATTCCAAGGATGGGTCATCAACAAAGGCTATTCATCACGTTGCCCGAACGGGAGATTTTTTTTTCTGATAATGATGGCGGACGAAGCAGGAGCAGGTTACGGTTTTATGTGTTAGTTTATTAAGTTCCCTGTTTCTCCCTCCTTCTGGTGGAAAGCAGAATTACACCTGTTGTAAGCAAGGCTGCCGTAGCCTGCTGTGGCTAGCGCTAATGACATGCTAATGCTAACACAAGCATACTGATACTAATTAAGCCTCAACGCAAAAAGATCCACTCTGTTGAACAAAAAATATTATTACTTAGAAGTCCAGAAGCAACAAAGCCAGGTCATCATCAGCCCTCAAACAAGTCTGGGCCATGCCGATGTTCACTCTGGAGGTGAAGCAAAGAGCTAAAACCAAAGATATTACTCTCTTACTTTTACCTCCAGGCTCCTCCATGATGATTTTATTGATGGTTGGCAAACTGGAACGGCAAACTACTAGCCATTATATTAGCTACCAGCACAATAAACAGCTGTTGCCATAAAGCAGGTAGAGACCTCTCACTAGTGTTCCTATCCAAACCACAAAAGTACTGTTTCTGGTCAGCAGAGGGCAACAGAGTGCTGTCCAGTGGGAAGTTGGTCAGGTTTCTGCTTCAAGAATCACTGAAACCAGTTTGAGAGCAATAAAAACTCTTTATTGTGGCTTTAAAATCTGGTTGGTTAAAAACTAAAAACTTGAAGCGGTTGATATTTTTATCTGCATTTTTGTTCATAATTTGTCAAAAATAATAAGAAAAATATTTGTAAAATCTTTGTGAATGATCTCATCCCAAGTTTAGTTTAGTTTCTTTTAGTGCTTTCGCCGTTGCTAGGCAACAAGACGTGCTGAGGTAGGAGAAGGAATGAAAGGCGAGAAAGTCCAAATTCACAGCTGCTCACTTCTGGTTGACGAAGGACCCGACCTAAGTGCAGCGAGCAGGACATTGAATTCGGCCAGACTCGTCGTCATCATCATCATCATCATCATCATCACAATGAACAGGAAATGTCATTTTAAGGTGATTATGCATGAAGACCCCAAGGATTCAAGGCCGTGGCCATGCTGTGATCCAGCACCAGTAGTTTTCACCACATCCTGCGATAACAGAACTGAATCACACTGAAGCACAATCCCAGCTCCCGATGTTTGAAAGCATCACTCGTTTCCCTCCTGATGCTCTCGCTGTTGAAGGGTTCAGTTTGAAAAAGGGTGGATTTAGGAAAATCTGAAAACATCCGCTTTGTAGAGATCTTCTGCTCAGCCAGGTGGCCTCCGGCCAGAGCGGGATCGCATTTTCTAAATCTGTCCTGTGCGGCTCTACATGTGAATGTGTCGTGTTTCACGCCGCATTGATGTTTTAGGATGATCCCCTGAGAAGCAGAACTTGGACACCATTTATTTTTGCCAACACAGAGGCTCGGTGTCGGCGCAGTTGGACCCGGTGGGTCATTCGGCTGCCAGTGGACTGGATTTCCTAAAGGCAAACTAGAATATTTGTGCAGTAACGGAAGCTTCTGGGTTGTTTTTCTCTGGAAAAGGCCGAGCAGTTGGCGCCAGCAGAGCCTTGGCACTTTCATCAGGTTACATACCCTTCACTGTGGCTGAGTGAAGCTGTGAGAGGAGAGTCTCGCCAGGTGCTACTTCCTGTGTTGGCCCAATCTCCGGAGGAGGATCTCTACGTTCCTGAGGAGACCCGAACAAGAACATTGCAGCTCAAACATCTGCTTTGCTTCATTACGATTGATCCTGATCGAATGCACTCCTTCTGTCCTCGTTCTAACGCGGCCCCGCTTCAGGAGGTGCTACAGATCACGTTTGTGGATTAGCGGATGTTCTCGCGGGTTGGGCCGCTGAGCGGATTGGCTCCTATAATGGATCTGCTGGGTGCGGATATTAAAAAATTCCAACATGCGCATCAGAATTAGACAGACGCATTAATCATCGAGGAAAACCATTACGAGGTAATCCCATTACGGAAGGGCCATGCCGCCAGGGTTAGACGGTGAAATTCAGAAGGTTACTCCACTCATCACGATGTGACAATCCACAGATGGTTGATTTGATGAGAAACATTAGAGGTTTAATGACTTCCTGTCCTCCATCAGAGGACAGGTGATGGAGACCAAACGTGCTTGTTTCTGTGTGTTGGCTTTCAGACGTCGCCACAGGGAACCTTTTGGATTTGGCAGAGGGAGCCAATGGCGCACAGGCCCGCTCAGGAGCACAGCAGACAGAAGCGGATCCCTTTGTGGTTAATAATCACCCGGCAGAGAACAACAACATCATATGGGTAAGCGTGGGGGCGTAACATTCAGCTGATCGATGAGAGGAAAGCACCGATTAAACGTTACCCACTGATGTGCCGTTCCGGCTGTGTTCAAACAGAGTTAGACGATAGTCCACAGAGTAGACCTGGCCTTATCTGAAAACACGGGTGAAAGGGTTAACCTCTGGAAGAAAGAGGCTAGGAAGTGTCTTTAAGCATGTTTCTGCACAACAGACTCTGACCGTGACCAAAACGTTTGTGTGTTGTGTGCGGCAGGAACTGGAGGACGGTCTGGACGAGGCTTTCTCAAGGTGAGAATCACAACTTCAGTCTAGAATAAACAGCCATGCTAAGGTCTATTCCAGGACCAAGAACCTGCAGTTTGGGCTCCTTGTACAATCACAGCTCCTCCCTGGAAACGGTCCAGCGCCGTAAACGACCGCAGACGGGCTCGGTTTACGGGCCGTGCCGAGTCACGCTGCTTTTTTAGCTTCTGGACGCCAATATTAGGACCGCCACCGCAGCCGTAACTGCTTACAGAGAACTTTGATGAGTGGAAACTTTGGGGCGTCAGCCAGAGTTCAGCCCGTTTGTTTTTCTCCGTCAGGTTTTTTTTACGGTGTTTGTTTTGGACTTCCACACAAACTCATTCAGCTCTTTATTAGACGATCTTGCCCCTGGCTCTGGTTTGTTTCCTGTGCTGGCTCCGCTGTTCTTCTCAGACGTCTATGTAGCTCAGAGGGAAGCGGCTCCACACACCTAATCAAGCACCAGCAGGCAAACTGGAAACGTGTTATCAAATGATTATTTGTCTGCCGACCCTGTAATTACACCTGAACCCCTTTAGTCTGCAGCTTTCTGATTAGTGGAGGAGCTGCAGGAACACTGGATGGTAGAAGAGGAGTTTGCAGCTTGATGCTAACATTTGAGATGGTTTTATTTTGTTTACATGAGGCATTATTTTGTTTTAGGTTCTCTTTTATCTCCTAAGTTTGACAGCAGGAACTGAACCACGTTGGAAATGTTTCTGCAAAGAAAACCTCCGTTGTTTTTGAGTCTTTACTGCCACCTGCTGGACAATTTGGCACACAACCTGTGATTCAGGTTTTATTATGGTCACATGGCAGGTAAAAACCTCTAAAATCACGCTGGATGTCCTGGTTTTGAGTCGGCTCAACCATCTGCCTGAAGGGGTGTAAGGGCTGGATGGTCGCCGTCGCCCATCGTGTTCTTTGTCCTGGGTTTCCTACTTACTGCTGGCTGTGTCTGGACCACATAAGGTCAGAGGTCATGCTGTAGCTGTCTCTACCAGGGCTAGGCTTCTCTTTAGTCTCATTGATGGTTAGGTAACCGTCATCGTAGTCGCTGACTCCTCTGATAGGGCTGAACGATCATTTTCTGAATGAAATGGTGATTTTAAACTATGTGATCATGTGATTGTCAAAGCTCCGCACCGACCCAGGGTCTGAGTCACCACGTCCAGGGGTTGCGGCGCTAGCAGCAAGCGCCAGCGGGGGGTTGCGGGAGCCCGGTGCATAAGCCCACAAAGTGGAGCATTTTCTTTTATTTTGTTGTTTTTTTTTTTTCTGTGACGCTTCCACGGCCAGTGTTTTTATTCCTGCGGTCATCTGTCTCCGTCCGTCTCTCAGCACCGTTCATGAGAGACTGACTTATTGTCTCCCTGCTACAGCAGGAAGGGATTTACCATAACAACATTATGAAAATTTCAAGGTACAACTTTTTTTTTTTTAACCCGATTACATCTTTTCTGATGGCACAAGCCTTCACATAGTTACGGTAATTCAAAGTTAGCTTGAAAAACGTAGCAGCCATAAAACTTGTGGCCATAACTTTCTGACGAGGCGTTTCGGAGGAGTTTTGAGCTGAATTGTTGCCTTATTGTGATGTCTTCTCTGCACCCTCAGCCGCAGTCTGGATAGTTTTGAATCCTACTCAGGTAACGGATGTTACGGCCTCCACCTCACCCCCATCATCATCATCATCCACCCACAGTTCTGTCCCGCTCATCTGTGGACATCATCCAGCACCACTGAGTAGCTTTAACATAGACCACACATCTACACACGATAACCGTTTAAGAAGCTACGGGAAACACAACTTCATCACAGATAGATGATTTATTTCAGCATCACGTTCATCAGATTTGCTCTTTTAGCATCATTTTGTGTTTGTTTGGTGGCATGGACTCAGTGCATTAGGCGACATGTGGCTCTGCATTTCTGTTCACTCGTGTTTGTTTCATTAAGAAGCACTCTGTCATTGTTAATGATTCATGATGAGACATCCGGATTCTCTGTCTCTCCAGACTCGCTGAGTCTCGCACTAACCCCCAGGTCCTGGACATTGGGGTAACCCCTCAGGACTTCAACAGCGAAGAGTGCCTGTCCCCCCCGGTCAAATGGGACCAAGACGAGAAAGACTTGACTGCACAAAGCGACCCTTTTGGGCTGTAACATGACACCTCTGCCAAGGGGGAAATGGTGGTGAAGGAGGGGAAAGGGGGGAGGACAAAGGTCTCCCACGTCCTCCCAGCTGATGCCACGTCGCCTCACGGTCGCAGTCCTAGTGGACGTCATCGACAGACGGAGGAGACGAGCGCACGGCTCACAGAACAGGCCAAAGCAATAAAAACTTTTATTTTTTCCTACAGTCTCTTCGTGTTCCTCCCGTCCTGTGTTTACTTTTCCTCTGTGGGTCATGTGTTTGTGTTACAGATGTGTGTGGATGTGTGGTAAATACATGAGCCGCTGTGTGTTAGGCATGCGTCTGTAGAGGTCACCGGGGGCGCCGTTTGTACAGGTCAGAGGGAAACGAAGGCCGCTGTTGCACCAGTCTCATACTGGGACTAATGGTGATGTCACTTCCTGTGTGCTTCGGCATAGTCATCCGGCGGCCAAAGTTTTAAAGTGTGTGTGTGTGTGTTGATGATCGGAGAACAAAGTGACAATCGTATTTTTGCACTAAGCATTCATCTTAAAAGCACACGACATCTTCATACTTTACTTTTGTTTGGGAGTGCCTCGCTTCTTTTCTCCTCTTAAACTCTGATTATTAAACTAAAGTTTCATAACTTCGAGACACTGGATCTAAAATCTTATTGTTGTTTGACAGAAAACTTCCAGATGGTTGTTCTTCATTGGTTTAGCTCCAGAGTTCAGCTCAGCTATGAGAGGATGAAGATGCTTCAGGCACGAACCCCTTTAACGTGTTGTTACTGGTCCCCCCCCCCCCCCCCACACACACACACACACACAGAGACTGTTCCCAGTGTTACATTTGCCATTCGTCCCGACAGACTTTTAATTTAATTAAAATAAACTTTAGTAAAATAATCGTTTTTTGTCAGTGTTTGTTTTTTCTGTCTGATAATAATTTGCTTGTGTTATAAACTCAAAAGAGGACCAGATATAAGTACTAGTACTACCCTTTGGTACGGGGCCGGGTGTTACGCTGCTACATGAGGCGATGGTCGTGGAGGCCTCATATGGATTTTGTTTACTTTCAGATCAATCATTTTAGAATGAACTCGTTTATTTTTTAATGATTTCTCTCTGAGATAAAGTGGAATTGGCCAGAATCAGAATCAGCAGGTCGGAGCGGCACAGAGAGAGTGAATGGATGGATGTTTTAAAGCCAAAGTAGAAAGCAGTAAATGAAGGTTTGCATTAGTATATCTATTTAGTCACGAATCATTAACTAATGTAACAAAGCCGCCATGCAGGCCTATCAGAACGCTTGTGTTTAATTTAAAAAAACTACCAATATTTGGAAGCAATAACTAGTAAAACTCTAAATTTAGCCTCACGTGTTTGTGAGGAGACAAGAAAGTTACTTTGCTTCAAGTTGTAGCATCCCCCCCCCAATGAAGGATGACACTTTACTGATGAAGTTTTGGATTTAATGATGATGAACCTCAATTTCACCGTAAGAGCTGGAGATGTGTACAAAAAACATGTAAATAAATCCAGTCTCTTACAATTAATACAACTGTTATTAACAGTTTACAACATACACCATACATTACAAATGTTTAGCTGTCGAAGATAAATTAATTGAATCTACCTATTTTATCAAACATAAGTAGGGTGACCTGTGACCATATTTCCATTTCCAAAAAAGAGGACAGGAGATCTGACGTCACACTAGGGCTGGGCGACATGGCCTAAAATCAATATCACAATATATTGAGGATTTAACCTTGAGAACGATAAATGGACGATAACTACAGGTGTGCGCAGAAACAAAAGTTGTCCACTAGATGGGGCTGTTGCATGTATTACACATTTTTACGTGACTCAAGGTGGTACCGCGTCTTAAAGGGACATGAACACTGCCAACTTACACACATCTTTTCATCTTTTATTATCAAATTTATTGACATGGGAAAAATGATCTCGATAAGAATCAGAAATTTCGATAACGAAATTGAAAAGTGGACATGTCCGGGGGAAAGAGGACGTATGGTCACCCTAAACATAAATATTTTAAGATAATAAATGTACCTCGTGCCTCTATCAAGGGGGCTGCTAATAGCAAAATCCATATTAGCTCTCCGTCAAAGCTGCTTTGGCTGTTTTATCACTGTAAAGCAAGCTTGCATTAACTGTTACAACAGGAAAGAGGCCCTTCAAAATAAAAGCATTTCATTCTAACCGGAAGTTGATCAAAACAGATTATAAATAAAAGCAAGTTATGCCTAATTAAAATACAGTCAAATGAAGATGTCATTTTAGAGTTAGTTACACAAGTCATTCCTTTATTTCCTATAAAAGAATTTAGACAAATATCCCGCAGCTGCTCCAACACCACCTCCAACGCCGGCCACCGTCGCTTTGGTGGCTAATGACAAACCAGCAGCAGCTGAAAACAAACAAACATATTTTTATACAGTAGAAAAATAAAGAATAACCTAATTTCAGGGTTTTGATTAGAAATGCAGCGACAGGATCATTTTGGTCTGATATTGATGATATTTGTACTGCTTCTATGGCCACCTCTTGAAACAACTGCAGACGGCAACAAGAAGGAAATTAACATTAGTTGTTAATATTAATAAATAAACACTTTCTGAACCGACACAGGAACGGTAAAAACGATGAACATCGGCGTCAACATCACTAGTTTTAATGGTAAATTAGATTTTCAACATGGCAGCATTTAAGTAGCAAAGTACTTAGATTACTTAATATTTTACTGAATTACTAATATCTAGCCACATTATGAAGAATATATGTTTTGACCCATAAAATGTAGCAGCATCATTAACTTTAGCCTGGTGGGATGCAATCAGTCATTCAGAACGTCTGTTCTCTACTCATCATTAGATGACGGGTTAGGGCTAACCCAGCTAAAGTCCTTCAGGAAGGAAAACCGGATCAGGGATGCAGAAGATGGAATTTCTAACCAATTTCTATTTGTTATGTTGCTAAAATACAGCCCATGTTTTCCAGATTGTGTGTGTGTGTGTGTGCGCGCACGCAATAGAAATTGGTTGAGTCGATAAAAAGTACCTGCAGACTGCAAAACAGCCACAGTACTTCCTGCTGCCACCCCTCCACCGTTAGCGATGGCAGCAGCAGACATCCATCCTGCAGCGTAGGATCCAGCTGTTATTCCAGCTGTGGTGAAACCTATGGCCCCCAGCACCACAGGAGCCAGGGCCACTGCTCCGACCGCTCCAGCTACTCCAGCTGCACCGTGACAAGACGAGAAACCGATGTTTAAATATTTAAATATCAGATTAGAAGCACGGCTTTAATCTACATGGACACTTAATTTAACTCGTCAGTTCTGATATAAATGTATTTATAGGCATTGTCACCTGTGTCATGGCACATTTGTGTTTCTTAAAAAATCCTATTAAATCTGGTAAGTTTACATTTAGTTTAATTTTTTTCTTTTAAGGGTCCAGCAGTGGTTTATATTTATGTGTTAGTATGGAAAACCACTCCTGCCACTATGATTAAAAAATAAATGCATCTCATAATGAGGGACTGTACACTGCACACACACACACACACACACACACACACACACACACACACACACACACACACACACACACACACACACACACACACACACACACACACACACACGTTTATGGGACAGTTAAGTTTCGTTTCCTCAGAAACCATTCCACACTTTGACCAGCAGGGGGCGAAGAAACATTCGATGAGTCACGTTCCCATCACGTCACGCCCAGAAAACCCAAAACTGCTGGCTCTAAATATTATAACGATTATAACTAGCAGATAATATAGTTTTATAGGAAGTCGCGGATGCTTTTGAATAAAAGAGACCTAAGATGACTCTTCTGATCTTACCTGTTCCTGCCGAAACACCAACGTTAGTCACTGAAACCAAAGAGAAGAACAAATGTAACAAAAACACAGCGTTTCGGGTTGGACTCTGATCTGTTCTGATAAATAGAAAAGTTCAAACAAACTCCAGCAGCCTGGACATGTTTAAGTTAAACAGAATGAACATTTAGAACACAAGCAGCCCACATTTGATGTCTAAGATCTTCTAAAACTCACAGATTCCCATGACGGTTCTCCTCAGCTTCCAAGTTAAAGACTGAGCCTTTCAGGGATTCGTGTCACTTCCTGACTCCTCTGCTGCCCTCTGCAGCTCAGATGTTTACTTCACTAAAACGTCCAGTAACAAAGATGCTAATAAAAGGATTGAGAGCTTTTCTCAGCCCCTCTCCTAAAAACACTCAATCACAAACAAGTCATTTAACCTTCTGAGCCTGAAAGGGAAATAATCTGTTACAGATCATTTATTATTATTCCTTTATTGCACCAGGTGACAGAGTCAGGCGACAAGAGTGGCCTGGTCCAGGACGGCATGAGAACAAGACTCATAATCACGCGATAAGCGAAGGTCAGAGAAAACAGCAGTCAGAAGGTTTTATTCCCATATGTGTGAGAAATCACAACATCAGGTAACTGCTGAGGTAACTAGCAAATATTGGAGTTAGGAACAAAAACACAATGAAATGATAATAATACTGAAAAGTCAGCGTAGGTACTGGTCAGAGCTACAAAATGTTTCCTTATAATAGGTTTGAGTTTTTTAAAGTGAAAAGCAGTGACACCTATCCAGGGTGCCATTTTTCATGTCCTCTTTAAGGTTAATCAAAAACAAATGTCTAAAAGCTTTCTAACCTTTTCTGTTGTAGGGATGGACGTCTGGATGGCGGCACTAGAACGTGGACCAGGGCGGTTTTCACCATTCTGCAAATACACTCTTGTAGGGCTTGTAGGACCCGAGAGCAGAGGCGGAGCTAGCCTAAATGGCACCCTGTGCGAGATCGCTCTTGTGACCCCCCCCCCCCCCCCCCCCCACACACACACACACACACAAGAAAGAAAATTACACCTACAACTTTGTTTCAAATTGCATGGAGTGTATTATATATAACAACGTTTGCTAACAGAATACAACATCCAGCTCCTGGCCACCTTCTCACCACTCGTCAAAGTTCTACTTAAATAGTGATGATGACAACACCTGCCATCGCCTTCATTCCTGGGAAATATAAAAGTAGTTGGCACCTTGGTAGGTCCTCTTCGAACTAGCTCTGTGCGTATGCTGTCGGTAATTGGTGATGGCCACTTGGCTGGGTCTGAAGAAAGAGGCTCATCATCACCTTCAATGGGACTCATTGGTTGATCGGTTTCAGGCTTCTCTATTGACAGAAAACAGAAGCATGTGGACCATTTCACATATTCTATTAAAATACAATATGTGACATTCAAATTTCTCTAATGTTTGCAGGACACACACACACACACTGTGCTCAAAGTGCTGTTAGCTGCAAGACTTGTCAGAGTTAGCAACAGTAACTAAAGAAGGTGGGGCTTAGTGAGGACTGGTCACAATTCAATTCAATTCAAAAATACTTTATTAATCCCAGAGGGAAATTGATTGCTGTAGTAGCTCAGAATAATGATAATAATCAAGTAATCAAAGAGTTGTTGTATATTACAATGGCTGTTGGCAGGAAGGATCTCCAGTAGCGGTCAGTGTTGCAGCAGAACTGAAGAAGCCTCTGACTGAAGACACTCTTCCGTTGTCGGACAGTCTTGTGAAGAGAATGCTCAGGGTTGTCCACAATTCTCTTGATTCTCTGGAGAATCCTTCTTTGCATCATCTCCTCCAGTGGTTCCACAGTCGTCCCCAGAACAGAAGCAGCCTCTTTTATTAGGCTGTTGAGCCTTTTCAGGTCCCTGCTTCTGATGCTGCTACCCCAACAGACGATGGCTGAAGAGATATACAATGTGATAATGTGGCAAGGTGGAGAAACGAGGGCCAGGGTGGGATTCGATCCCCAGACTCCCGAGTGAGAGTCATACGCTCTAACCAGTCAGCCAAAGGGACATCCCCTTGGCCAAGTAGCCAGGGCGCATTATCTATCGGGTCACTGTGACAGGACGCTCACACTGCCACAATATCCTCAAGCACGTGAGGATGAGTTTCGGTTGCTAACAGGCACCAGAATTAAAATAAATAATTAAACAAGTATGAACCGGTGAGCTACACATGTAGGGAAATCTGTCCGACTTAAACGCCAGCTTTCAGCCACTCCTCCTGCTGCGTCCGTCTGCTCTCGTATGTTTTCCAGGCGAGGCGCTGCTCAGCTCGAACAAGGCCAGAGTCTGGGAACTCTCCTATTCAATTAACCCCACCCCGTGAGAATTCTAACCGAGCCAATCAGCGCTGAGTAGCGTACGTCACACACCTCAATGCCGAGTTTATCATAAACATGGTGACTTAAGTGGAGTTCGTTGCGGCTCTTTCCTTTGTTCTGAATGATTTGAATATGTCTTTAAAACCACAACAAGTAGAAGCGCTAAAAGCCTTTTTTCTAAACAAAGATGTTTGCGCTGTCGTCAGACTCCATTTTTACTACAGCGTCGCGGACGTCACACAGCGACGCTCAGTTTCTCATAAACAACGAAGACAGCAGCGGAGTTCACTGCGGCTCTTTCCTCTAATCTAAATGACTCAAATGTCTTTAAAACCACAAGTAGAAGCACTAAAAGCATTTCTTCTATAAAAAACATAAATAAAAGATGTTTGCGCTGTTGCCAGACGCAATTTCTTTTTTTTACTATGGAAAACTACAGCGTTGTGCGGTAGTCGGGAATTCCATCTTTTTTCTGATTGGTCATTTTTGAGCTGCCTAGTCCCACCACCTCATGCGCCTCTCTGCTTCTGAGTTACCAGACTCATTCTCTGTGCAGAATTAAACCGAGGACGAGTCTGGCAGGCCAGGCTAATTGCCCTAGGAACATGCTTCCCACTGGGAAGTTCCCAGCCAGTTTCACGTTTAAGTTGGGTAGGGTGTCATGTCTGCCATCTGCTGGCTTACTTAAGCAGCTACAGCTTCAGGCATCTCAAAAGCATTTTGCCTTCATTTTTTATCTGATGAAATTATATAACTCGAGAATTTTAGTTTGAGCTTTTAAACTACACAGCTACTGTTTTAGTCAAGTCTATTTAATTTTTAATACAAAGTCAAATAAAGTAGCTTTTCAATAAAGATGTCAGTTTCAATTTCAAACTTAATTCACTTTATTCAAGTAAAAAACAGCAAAACTTTGAACCGTTTGGCGATTTCACAAGCCATTTGACACTTAATGCTGCAGAAAACACATTCTCAAATGTCCATGAAGTCAGTCAAGTTGAACTTTGGAATTGTGGCATTGCTTAACAGCCTAATATTCTTCTCCCTCTTCATCCTCCCCTCCAATGCTGTCAGCGCCAACTTCTTCATAATCCTTCTCAAGGGCAGCCATGTCTTCTCTGGCCTCTGAGAACTCTCCTTCTTCCATTCCCTCTCCAACATACCAGTGGACAAAGGCCCTCTTGGCGTACATGAGATCGAACTTGTGGTCGAGGCGGGCCCAGGCCTCAGCGATGGCTGTCGTGTTGCTCAACATGCACACAGCTCTCTGTACTTTGGCCAGGTCTCCACCAGGAACCACAGTTGGAGGCTGATAGTTGATGCCCACCTTGAAGCCTGTGGGACACCAGTCCACAAACTGGATGCTGCGTTTGGTCTTGATGGCAGCAATAGCCGAGTTGACATCTTTGGGAACGACATCACCACGATACAGCAGACAGCAGGCCATGTATTTACCATGGCGAGGATCACACTTGACCATCTGATTAGCTGGTTCAAAGCAAGCGTTGGTGATCTCAGCCACAGACAGCTGCTCGTGGTAGGCCTTCTCAGCTGAGATGACTGGAGCATAGGTGGTCAGAGGGAAGTGGATACGAGGATAAGGCACCAAGTTGGTCTGGAACTCCGTCAGGTCAACATTCAGAGCTCCATCAAAGCGAAGCGAAGCAGTGATTGATGAGACGATCTGGGCAATCAGCCTGTTCAGGTTGGTGTAGGTCGGCCTCTCAATATCAAGGTTCCTACGGCAGATATCGTAGATGGCCTCATTATCCACCATGAAGGCGCAGTCGGAGTGCTCCAAGGTGGTGTGGGTGGTCAAGATGGAGTTGTAGGGTTCAACTACTGCTGTAGAAACCTGAGGAGCTGGGTAAACGGCAAACTCAAGCTTGGACTTTTTCCCATAATCAATAGAGAGTCTCTCCATCAAGAGGGAGGTGAATCCAGAGCCAGTGCCTCCACCAAAGGAGTGGAAAATAAGGAAACCCTGCAGGCCAGAGCACTGATCAGCCTGAAAGAAAAATCAAATGGTCAATTTAAATATACAAGGTAAAGCTAATTTTATATACTACTTTGTATGAGTTCTATTCTCACCAGTTTACGTGTCCTGTCAAGAACCAGGTCTATGATCTCCTTTCCTATGGTGTAGTGTCCACGGGCGTAGTTGTTTGCAGCATCTTCTTTTCCTGTGATCAGCTGCTCAGGATGGAATAGCTGACGGTAAGTTCCTGTACGCACCTCATCTGTTTATACACAAAAATGTTTGCTTTAACATCTCATGTTTAATACAACACGCACATTCTTTTAAACCACTAACCTATGACAGTGGGTTCCAGGTCAACAAAGATGGCCCTGGGAACATGCTTTCCTGCTCCAGTCTCACTGAAGAAGGTGTTGAATGAGTCACCTCCACTCGTCTTGTCAGAGGGCATCTGTCCATCAGGCTGGAGTCCATGCTCCAGACAATACAGCTCCCAGCATGCATTGCCCATTTGGACTCCAGCTTGGCCCACATGCATAGAAATACACTCACGCTGGAGAAAAATAAAGGGTAAATCAGTATGTGGCAAACAGGAAGGCATGGAGCCTTTCTCCTTTTCCTGATCCCCCTCCTTTCTTTGTAGCCTGGCCTGCCAGACTCCTGTTTAATTCTGCACAGAGAACTAGTCTGGTAACTCACAGGCTGAGGCACATGAGGGGCGGGACTGGGCAGCTCAAAAGTAACCAATCAGAAAAAAAGACAGAAATCCCGACTTTTTTTGACACCAGATAAATCTTTTTATTAGAAACGCTGGATTACAGCATGCACGTTAAAATTAAACAGCATGTAACGTTTAGGTATTTTATCTTTAATGTATTTTATGATATTTTTATTTTATTCATCTTTTATCTATTTTATCTTATTTTATATTAGACCAATGCCTGTTAATAAAGTTCATATAAAATCGCTTTAAAGCCATGATGACAATGACCCACACCCATCGGTCAGAACCAGGCCCCCACAATGCAGCTCTGAAATTGTGTCACACCCGGA